CATGCTTATCAGTTTGTTATTTATTTCATTCACAGTATTCTTTATTACGTTATCTCAGATATCAGCTCCTTCCTAGTTTCTTCTTGTGTCTCCTCAATTCTTTTTAGTCTCTCCATTAATGTCTTGATATCTAGGTTTGTAGTTTGAGACCCTTCATTCTGGGGGTTCTTCATTGTTTGCATTCCAAAGTCAGTTTTCTCAGTGTCTGCCCTCCCAGAGATCTGGGAGAGACCCATACTCTTCTTTTGGTTTTTCTTCATTTGTGTAGATTTTTATCTCTCCCTCCCTTTCCCTCCCCTTCTTTAATTCTGTTTTTGAGGGAAGGTGGGGTTGCTTTTGTTTCACTTCTGCAATATCCTGTTCTTCCTTATGAGGATCTTCTGGCTTTGTTCACTTTTGAGGTTGGAGTGTGGGTTGCAGTCTGTACTTTTTGTAGTTTTGAGGTTTAATTGAGGGGGAAGCTGTGGTTCAGAATGTATATGCTGATTCTAGCATCCACCAACAGGTGTATGAGGACACTGGAACCTATTTCCCTCTGCCTTACAATCTGTCCATGCAGCAGTATGTAGGCTTCATCCCTAGATTAAAAGGGGGTATAAAAGAGGAAAATAATGGAGGAAGGGGGTGTCAATAGGAAGTTAGAAAGAGAGAATAGCGAGAGGGAAAACAGACATATATACCAACTTTCAGGTGAGAAAGAGACACAAGGCCGGAGAGAAGTGAAAAAAGACACATAAGAAAAATTCCCTAAAGAATACTGGTAGCTACACAGAGACAGACCAATAAAATCATGATACAGTGTAAGTCAGTAAGCTAACAATGAAAGTGATCAACACAGTCAAAATGATAAAATCAAAAGTCAAGATAAGAGATCAGACTAAAGTCACTTCGGCTCCAATCTCCAGCCTCTCTCCTTTGTTTTTCATTGCAGGCAGCTAGATTTACTTGCAGTTTGGGTTTGTTTGGGTTTTTTTTTAACCTGATGCCTGGGAGTTGCTTTTGTCTGATTCAGCATAGGGGTGGGGCTTTGTCTCCTATTTAGCGATGTTACCTTAGGAACCGAGGTAGGGGTTGTTGATAGGTGGGCGGGGCAATAGAAATCTCAGCCTGGAGAATGGCTGAGGCAGTTTCACTTTCGCAGATCCATTTCTCTCCGCTTGTCTGGGTCCCCAAGCTTGGGGTCACACACTGAGTGCCTCAGCCAGGGTGGGCCCAGAGCTCCAGAGCTCCAAACTCCAAAGGGCAGGTGGTGAGCGGCAAGAGTGGCCCTGGGCCCCCCACAGGGTACTTCAGCCAGGAATGGGACCGGTGTCTCTGAGGGGTGGGTGCCCAGAGCCTCCCTGAATGACTGGCGGTTTGGTGCTGGGTGCTGGGCATAAGACAATGTAGCCAGGGAGCCAGCCAAGACCTGAGACTCCCACACAAGTGGGAGTCGCATATGGTGGAACAGCAGCAGCTGGTGGGCATGCAGGGCTGGGGGATGGGGGAAGAAAAGTAAGAGCCTTTTTGGGAACTCAAGTTCAGAGAATCTCACAAGTCCACCTATGCTGTCACCATCTTACCGGAACCTCCCCAGCATTGTTTTATGCATATTTTGGCTGCTCATATGTCTTCCTTTGAAAAATATCTATTTATAACTTTTGCCCACTTTTTAGTAGAGCATTTGGTTTTTCCATTTCAGCATGCTTGAGTTTCCTGTAGATCCTGGATGTTAGGTCTTTGTCAGATATACAGTTGGCAAATATTTTTTTCCACTCTGTGGGCTGTGTGCCCCCTCTCTTGATGGTTTCTTTTACATTGCAGATGCTTTTCAGTTTGATGATTTCCCACTAATCTGTCTTATTTCTTACAGCATGGGTTCTGGGCATGTTGATCAGGAACTGGTTGCCTAGTCCAATTTCCATAAGGGCATCTCCTGTGTTTTCTAAAATTCTGAAAGTTTGAGCTTTTACATTTAGGTCTTTGATCCATTCTGAGCTGGTTTTTTGTGTAGGGTTCCTGTTTCATTCTTCTGCATGTGGTCAGCCAGTTTTTGCAGCACCATTTTCTGAATGCGTTCTCCTCTCCTCAGTGGTTGTTGGCAGAAGCTTTGTCGAAGATGAGTTGGTTGAGAAATTGAGGTTTTGCTTCTGGAATTTCTACCTTATTTCATTGGTGTATATATCTGTTTTTGGACTAATTCCAGGCATTTTGATTGCTGTATCCTTATGATAAAGTTTCAAGTCTGGAAGTGTTTTACCTCCCACTTTGTTTCTCTTGTTGATGATTGTTCTGGCTGTTTATGGTCATTTATGTTTCCCTCTGAATTTCCGTATTTTTATTTCCAGATCCAATGATAATGGTAATTTAATAGGTATTGTGTGAATCTGTAGATTGCCTTGGGTAGGGTAGACATCTTTTTTTATTTTTAAATTTTTTTAATTTAAATATATGGGGTACAATTCAGGGTTAGGTATACAAATGTTCAGGTACCCTTGTTGATGAAGTATGCCCCCCACTTCCCTAGCAGTTTTCTATTACTGTCAATCCCTTTCTTAAAGTATTATAATAGTTGTTCAAGGTCCGCTTATGAATGACAATATGTGGTACTTGGTTCTTTGTTTCTGTGATAGATCAACCAGTATTATAGTCTCTAATGGACATCTTAACAATATTTATTCTTCCAATCCATGAGCATGGAATATGTTTCCACTTGTCTGTGTCTACTTTGATTTCTTTGAGCAGTGTTTTGTAGTTTTCATTGTAAAGGTCTTTCATCTCTCTGGTTAGAAAGATGTCAAGGTATTTCTCTTTCTTTTTTTGGCTATTTTGAATGAGATTGCTGTTTTTATTTGACTCTCTGCCTGTTTATCATGATGTATAAAAATGTGACTATCTTTTGCACGTTGCTTTTGTACTCTGAGACTTTGCCAGAGTCTTTTATCAGTTCAAGGAGGTCTTTTGACAGAATCTCTTGAGTTTTCAAGGTATGGGATTATATCATTGGTAAAGAGGGATAACTTAACTTCCTCTTTTTCTATTTGGATATCCCTGATTTCTTTCTCTTGTCTGATTGCTCTAGCTAGGACTTCCAATACTATATTGAACAGAAGTGGTGAGATTAGGCAACCTTAATTTGTTCCAGTTTTCAGGGTAATGATTCCAATTTCTGTCCATTTAGCTGTCTGTTGGCTGTGGGCTTATCATAGATAGCTCTTACTATTTTGAGGTGTTCACCCTATGCCCTGGTGTTTGAGAGTTTTTATTAAGAAGGGATGCTGGATTTTGTCAAAAGCTTTTTTTTTGTATTTAATGATAAAATCATGTTTATTTCAAAATACATAAGCCTCTTTAAGTATTCCTCTCAAAGTTTTGGAACTTCTGGAATTACTTGCTGCTGATAGCTAAAATCTCAAAGTTGATATTCAAAGTTTTAGCTTCTTAAAAAAATAATGTTTTCCCACAAATGCCATATATTACTGTTAGAATTTAGATAAATATAAAAGATTGAAAGTGGCACTATTAAGCTTTGAAAATACAGATCTTTTGAAACAGTAAGCCTTTGGCATTTACAAAAAATAAAATGGGATACGAGTTATGTTTAAATATTTTCTACTGTTTTATTGGATTAGTTTTTAGGTTGTAAATACAGTTATGTCAATATTCTTTTGGTGACACTGAATTTTCAGTACTTTCCATTTAATTTTCAGCATAAAATTATACCCAACATATTAATAATATGCTGTATTATTATTGGTGGACCACTCAATATTTTGATTTTTGTATGTTAAACAATTATCACAACTATGTATGAAACTTTGGGAATGAGGAAAATGTGTTGTGCTTCCACTCTCCCCTCAAAACAGCTATAGAATCTGCAACATTGTATTTTTTATGTATAATGAATCTCTAAAAGTTCACTGTGTGACATTTGTGATCTGCTTTACTGAGAGAAAAGGTAAACAAAATATTTTTTTAATAATTAAAGTGTATCTGCTCTTAATTTATAATTTATTGTACTAGGACAAATAAAATATATAGCATATACAGTACTATATATACAGTACATATAGCTATTATGTAGGATAGCTTATTATTACTAGCATAAAACCATAGCATGAAGAAAAATTTAGCTATAATGTGAGATTCACACAGACGTAATGGAAAAACAAACTTAGAAAATATAAATAATTGTAAGAACTTTTAGTTGTTGGTAGTAAAGGAGATTTTATGAGAGTAGATGAAAAATTTAAGTAAAATAACATAATAATAAATTCCAGCATTGGTGGCAAAAGCGATCATGAGTTCTACACAAAGCATGTGTAGAATAGTAATAAATAACAAATTGGAACCACACATGCTAGTTAATGAAATTCTTCAAATTCCTAAGCACCTTGCATTTACACATGGGAAGCTTTTAAGAGAGCAAAGTAAATAAAAACACAGCATGTGTGTTGTTTTTGAGAAGAGACTGAACATAAGGAGACTATTTTAAACATGACTACACCAATTGTAGTGAGGTAAAACTAAGATAAGAATTAGAATTATAATCATAGGACTAGAAATGAGAGAAGAGTGCTATTGCATATGCAAATTCCACAGGTCATGGCTGTTTGTATTGCCCTGGAAAGGGAAAATTAGGTGAGAAATATGAGGCAGAGACACCAAGCAAATAGGGAAAAGAAGTTCCATCACTTCCAGCATTCTCAGCAATTTTTATTCTTCTTACATCAATTGGGAAAATAAGACAATTGTTAATTTCTGTTTTTCTCATCTTCCCTTTCTCTTTTTCCCCCTTTCTCTCTTTCTGCCTGCACACACTTACATAGACTTAGACACATTCAAGCCAATACGGTCATCACCACCACCACCACCACCACTACCACCACCACC